TGAGGGAGTGGGATGGGGGGGAGGAGGGGTTGGGGAGGGGGCAGAGGGAGGCGCTGGATCGGGCGAATAAGGTGTTGGGGTTTTATGGGTAGGGGGTTGGCTGGCTGAAATTGGGATCGGGATTCTTGTGGGTGGGTTGGTGTTTGGTGGTTGGTGAGGGCTTGGGTAGGTAGGTCTTCTTAGGCTGGCCCGGTTAGGTTTTATGTGTGTTGAATGGCTTTATGTGGTGTAAATATGACTGAAGGCTATAAAGTCCTTCCTTTAATTCAGCACAGCTCAGTTCCTACTATAGGTCCTTGAGGGCTTAGTTAGAAGGCTTATTGCTTAGAGCGAACATGGGGCTCTCGGTAGATGAGGTAGCCAAGCCAATATGCGGATACAAAGTCGCGTTTAAAAATATATTGCTTATGGGAGGATGATTGAGCGCCTATAGTTTAGATAAGACGAGGATGGCCGAATCACTTTCCATTCCTTGGACACTGGTTTCAACATAAGTTTATCTTCAAATTTTAGATTGCTGTGTCGTGGAATACTGTATTGCACCTACCATTTTTCAGTGCCGTTTTCTAATATTTCATAAGCGGTCGCTTTTTGTCGTGGTACAAACGAGGTTCATTTTAACTTTTCGCATGTCAGCTTTCTCACACCCACTCAGCTTACTCGGCTGGTCCAGCAACGCTATTGGAAAGCCCTCTTCCTTTACCTGATGTTCATTTCACGTAGCGATGAACAAGCGAAATACGCCTCGCGCTATCATCCCATTCGTTAGAATGTGAAGCGGATTCACTACGTAATTGTCAACTCCCATAGACTCTGAAGGTGCCGAAACACGCTTGCTAGAAAGCAACAATACACGTAATCATGGCACACAGTCGTCGTATCACTCAATTATTTGTATTGGAATATCCGAATGATCTTTAGAATAACTTTGTGTTCGTCATGGTTGGGCTGTGCTCGAGGCCTACTTCGCATTCGTCGTATATTTTCTTGGCTTCGACGTCAATTATATTTTCTACACTAATATATAAGAACACCGAAGTGGACTACGAGAATTGCAGCCATCGTTCTTTTTCTAATAACAATGAAGTATTCAAATCCTCTTTTTGCTCTACCTTTGCTTCCGCCTCTCATCTCGGGATATCATCGACAGAGATGTGCGTTCGGCGATGCCTGTTGGCCCTCTCCTGAGCAATGGGCATCTTTCAATTCATCTATCTCTGGAAGGCTTATTAGCTCTTTCCCGTCCGCTGCTGTATGCCATCGTGAACATTACGATAAACAACTCTGCCACACCGCCACCTCGAACTGGACAAAGAGCTTCTGGAGAACGAGTCAAGTTGGGGCTTACGCAGCCATTGCTTGGGAATTGGGGCAAGACCAATGCTTTATCAACACCACCATCGATGCTCCCTGTGGGCCGGGATTAGGTGGGCGTGGTATTTTATAAGTGATGTGGATACGTCCTAACCATCTTAATTTCAAGTTGCCCATTATTCTGTTGCGGCGCAAAACATTACGGATATACAAGCGGCCGTGAAGTTCGCAGACTATAATGACCTATATCTTGTCATCAAAAACACTGGACACGACCAGTAAGTAACCCGGTTCATTGCAAGCCAAAAGTGGCATTGGAAAATTCGACGGGTTTAACAATACTTTCTAGCCTGGGTCGTTCAAGTGGTAAAGGAGCGTTTACTATATGGACGCACAACATCAAAGGACGAGAATGGTATGATGCCTTTGTGCCGAAGGGATCTCCAAATGACACGAAAGGGATTCCAGCAGTGACTCTGCAAGCGGGGGAGCAGTGGCTTGGTAAGTTCATATTAATTTCGCAGGTATCAACTGGCTTAGTCGAGAGTTCAAAAACCGATGCTATAATTAGACGTCTATCGAGATGCTGCGGAGCACAATGTTATAGTTGTTGGAGGTCAAGCAAGAACAGTGGGAGCAGCTGGTGGTTGGGCCACTGGAGGCGGCCACTCTGCATTTGCGCATTTTTATGGACTAGGAGTCGACAGTGAGCCTCATGATACTCCTAAACTCCTTCTCTACATACAATTTACTAAGTTTCAAAAGACATCCTCGAGGTGAACATCGTTACTCCATCTGGAGAGTACAAGACGCTCAACAAGTATAATGAGCCTGAGTATTTCTATGCGGTGCGAGGAGGTGGTGGAAGCGCATGGGGCGTGAGTAATTAGATCCCCACCCTTACTAAGATGTATTAATGTCTTTCCTATCGCAGGTCATCACATCTATCACCTACAAAACGCATCCAAATCCTAGTCACATCCAAGTCGGCTACGCCGAAATCACCACCACCTCCAACTCGACCTTCCGCGCCATTCTCTCCAACGCCTTCAAAGCCCTCCCTCGCATCACCGACGCTGGCTACACTGGCTACGGCACCGGCGATAGCGGCTACCTAGGGCTAATCTTCATCCAGCCGAACGGCACGAACGAAACCTTCCGCTCGGCCTTCGCGCCACTTTACGAGATCGCAAACATGACGAATGTAAGCGCGCAGATTGGGAGCTTCGTCTTCCCAACTTGGATGGACTTCTGCGATGCGTTCCTGCAGGACCCAAACATCGCCACGAATGTGATGGACACGTCGAGGCTTTTAACCGCAGACGTGCTACTGAATCAGACCGAGGAGTTGCTGAATCTTATTGAGGATTATCCAGAGATGGGGCTAGGGTTCAACTTTAGTAAGTCTGGCCAACACCTCCGACCCTCTTGAAGCGGTGGGAGCGCTAATCTTTGTCTGCTCGGGTAGTTGGTAAGGTAAATCCTGCAGAGCGCGATAATACTGCAGTCCACGATATATGGAAGCGCAGCCGGGCTCTCTTCACTATGAGCGTAGACTGGCCTGATGATGCACCCGAGGCAGAGAAGAAGCGGCTGAAGATGCGGGCGGTTGAGGTCAGCGGACGGCTTGCGGAGATCGTTGGGCCTGATGGCGGAACTTATATTAATGAAGCGAACCCGTAAGTTGCTGTGTTTTTCTATGGGTGTTTTTCCTGCGGGTTCTGGTGCTGACTCTGATGTTGTAGGTATGAACCGAACTGGCCGGAGAGTTTCTGGGGCGAAAAGTATGAGAGGCTGCTAAGGATTAAGAGGAGAATTGACCCGACGAATCTATTCGTCTGTAATAGATGCGTAGGGACGGATGTTGTATATGAACCCTAGTTTTATGGAGTAGGAGTACACTAGAATAAATAAATCCGATAGCTAAGTTCTGGCAAATATAGACGCCTACTACGAAGGACCCCGTATTTTGTAGCGTAGAAAGCAGACTGAACTCTATATTTACGGGGGTAAATTCCAGACTCCCACACTTACTGCGCTCGAAATAGCTACAGCTATGTGCATAGCTAGCTTCCACCTGCCCTTCAAAAACAATTCAGCATTCACAATAACCACCAAACCATACATAGCGAAGGTGGTGAATGCGTCGGTATGCTTGGCTAGAGGAACTTTAAACTACAGCGCCATTGTCTTGGCTGTCGCCTTGACCGTATTGTGAGGTTCCCCCCAGATAACATCACCGAAACATGTAATGGCAATGCAGCGGTTGAGGTTGGACGATAGACGCGGCGTGCACAACGTGGGCAGAACGGGGGGGAAGCAGACGGCAAAGGGAGGGGGCCGTACGTTATGTGATTTTCTTAAGCAACTGGAACAATCCATTAAAATAATTTTTACGTGTGGCCATAGCTGTTCGCTATAAATTGCTCTGTATGGTTGGTGGCCCTTAGTCGAGTTCGCACGCCGTAGCAAAAAGAAA